AGAAAATGCGCCTTGAGGCATGGAACATATGTACCAAATATGCCAAAGATGTCTACAAAATTATCTCAGTTATTATGAAAAAACTGATTATTTTTGAAAACTTTGCCACCCTGTATCTCAAAAGTTAAGGCGTTTAGAAAATACGTCCATAGGACGTGTTTTCCTTAAAATGGGTCTAAGAATTACCTCGTTAAATATTAGCATGTGTTTAAGGAACACCCTGTATATACGTGGCTAATGTGTGCATATTACATTGAACGTGACTTTTTCAATTGCGATATCTCAGGAACGGTAATATTTACAGAAAAACTCATAGGAACTGTTTTTGTAGAAAATTTTGAGATGTACAACTTTGGTCTGAATAACTTTTGAAGCGCTCATGGGACAGATTGGGAATTTTAATTTTTTATGGTGAAATAAAGGTCTTCACCAAAATTTAGCTGTCGTCAGCAAAGCAATATAATGGATTCTTGTTCTTTTCCAATAAGTCGTTGATAAACAATAAAAAGAGGGTTGGATACAATATGGATCCCTGCGGAACACCAGCGTTGATACTGAAAATATCGAGAGCCATGACAGCCACTTGCAGGAAACGTTCTTTCAGGAAGCTGAAGAGTCATACACAGAAATAATCCGACAAGCCATGAATACAATGTGGTAGTTGATAAAAAATAGAAATTATCAATAATTATGTATTTATCAATAATTGATAATCTTTATATGGCGTGTTTTGGACCGGGACTACCGGTTGACCTTAATTGATGCTCTAACCGCTCCCTCTCCCCCCTCTATCTCGAAAAAGATTCAAGTTATAAAAAAATGTTTCAAACAAAAGTTGTAGGGAATTCAATCCTCTACAATATTGATGATGAATACAAATAGCGAAAACTCCATAGGAAACGAGATATTTGCACAAAATCTGTAAAAATAGATTTTTGGGACCTTTGACTAGGATGTCAAAATACAAGTTTAGACGAGTTAGTAGCTGGTTATTGCAAATTCCGACCGAGATACGTAGCTAACTTTTACCAAGATAACTGTACCATATATGGGACACTTGTATTAACAGGAATTTTTTTCCAGATTATTTTCGTATTCTCTCTTCTGAGCCACGAACAGATGCTGGGAACGGAATATGCCTATCCCGAATGGAGTCTGAAGGTTGGATACGTTCTCACCGCATCCTCTATCATGTGCATACCCCTGTATATCGTGTATAAATTCATCATTACCCCAGGAAACTTTCTACAGGTAAAAGATAACATTTTCTCTCTTGCTTTCCATATAAAAATAACCCATCTCGACTATTTTACAGTTAAAATTCAACGAAGAAAAATTGATTGCTTTTGGTTTTCAATCAAACACGTTGTATATGTAAAAAGCTACCCTCTTATATAGTCGAATTCATCAAGCAGCGGAGAAATGAAACATTTTCAAGTCGATGTTCTGTGATTGAGTCGGTTTAAAAGTGAAAAATATAGTGAATTTCACTAGTTCGGACTTCCATTGTCTCTGTTTTCATAAGGGTATTTGAACAAAGTTGCCAAAAGCTCGAAAAATCCAGTGGTATGAAGTCAGAACTTGTAGAAATTGAATACTGTACTCTATTTGCTAATAATAAAAACTACTTGTTGAAATTGATATCTACAGCTGCCGGTGAGAAGCTCCTTCCTCAAGATGTGCAGTAGATGTGTAGAAATCATACAATAACATTGAATGTTTGAAATAAATACTATATTTTTCATTTGTTTGAAGGTGATTGACAATGTTTCATGATGAATTTCACTAGTTCCAACTTCCATTGTCTACTATATAAAATGATTTGAAATCCCTGAAACAACTAAAAAAGAAGAATTGAAAATGAATAGCTGAAAATAACAATTATATTAACCAAAATAAACCTGAAATGAAATAATAGTGAAATAAAATACAAGTAAAAATAGAACAATTGAATAAATAAAAATAAAGAAATGAAAAAAGAAAATAAAAATAAAAAGTGGAGAGATTCCAAGTCACGTTAGTTCACGACGTTTCGATTGT